GGCTACACTTGAATCTTTTAAACAATAAGAGTTACCCTTGGCTGTTCTGGGATAAAGTAGGCCCCTGTGCATCTTGTGTTGTTTCTGACAGTGTGCACTGTGTAAGCCAGGGGGCTGAGTTTCTGGAGTATGTGTTTTCAGGTTATGTGGGCAAGTAGAGATGGTGGTCTGTAAGTGTTTTCAGTCTATGTAACGTTTAATGACAACCGCCTGGCTATGGGGGAAGGAAGAAGTAAGGACACAGTGAATTTGCCCATTCCAGCAGTGATGGGTGGTCTGGCTCGTGCCTGCCTGTGAGCTTGTAGGGTGAGCACCAGTATTGCCACTTTGAAAAGGGAAATAGAAATTGGGGCTAGGAAAGAACCTTTGTACAGTGTTCCCCCAGACTCACATTGACAGAAAAGCCACACAAAGAGTTGGTCAGCTAACGGAAGGGCAGTTTCTGTTGTCTGATGAACTATGGATGGTAGGGGTTGGAGAGGCTCAGAGTGGTCCTGCCCGGTGGTCAGTGGCCTTGCCCCGCTAATCTCCTCCATTACCAGCCCAGTAACATGAAAGAGGCTTTCAAATGTAAAAGACTCAGAAGCCTGGTACCTGGTACGTACTATACATGCAGTTTCGTTTTTGTGTAAGGGAATGTTTCTGGCCAAAATCAAGTCAGAGAGGCTTTCCAAACTAGGGTGTGGATCTGTATGTTTTCATAATAGACCTATTTAGGTCAGTAGGCGCCCCTTTGCAGATTATTTTCATTGTTGAAAATGATTTCTCCCCATTGCTTTGGTAGCCAGATCAGATTTTCGGCTAAATTTCTGCTGATACAGAATAAGGAAAATTTTTCTAGTGAATGGGATCAGTAATGTTGACATTTTAACTGTGGGTCTGTAGTCACTTCACTCCTATATATTTACCCCCAGAGCACAGAGAACCATGTAGACAAGTGAGCCTCCTGTCTTTGTGTGGTCTCTCCATGTGGTTTTTTCCAGCAAGCTGGCTGGGCTTCCTACCTGGCAGCTCAGGACTCCCACGGTGCTAAGAGGATGGAAGTGGGCATTGTTAGAGTTCTGAAAGGCTAGGCCTGGTACTGGGCTAGCACCACTTCTGCTGCATTCCATCAGTGGGTATGTGTGATCACAGGATGCCCAGAAGAGTGAAGGGACTACATGAGCCACATGAAGGTGGGAACACTGAGTAGCTACCAGCTTTGGTGTCAGTGTCTGGTGTATAAAAGGAGTTATTTGTTCCTTTGCCTATTTTAAATAGAAATGTAATAGCTGTGTCGGCACAACTTGGCTCAGTGGATAGAGCTTCGGCCTTCGGACTGAAGGGTTCCGGGTTCGATTCCGGTCAAGGGCATGTGCCTGGGTTGCAGGCACATCCCCAGTGGGGGATGTGCAGGAGGCAGCTGATCGATGTTTCTCTCTCATCGATGTTTCTAACTCTCTATCTCTCTCCCTTCCTCTCTGTAAAAAATTCAATATATTTAAAAAAAAAGAATTGTAATAGCTTTAATAATGATAGAGCCATCTGGGTATGAACCTTGGGGATAGATGTTGATATTTGTTATGTATTTTTTCCAGTGTTAAAAGAACTGTGCGTTGTTGGCATAACCCCACTGGATTTGATTTATTAAAATTTTTATAATTTTTGTATCTATGTTCATGAGGGATATTGGTCTGAAATGTTCTTTTCTTGTCATGTCTATGAGTAACCCTGTCATGTAATGAGCTAGGAAATACTTCTTCCTCTTCAATTTTTTTGAAGAGTTTCGTAGACTTGATATTATGTCTTCCATAAATGTTTACTAGAATTCACATTTAAAACATCTGGGCCCGGAGTTTCTTTGTTGGAAGGTTAACCATAATTTCAATTTCTCTCATAGATATAGGGCTATTCAGCTTATTTTTCTAATTGATAATTTTCATCTGCTCCATTATATCTAAGTTATCGAATTAGTGCTGTTTATAATATTGTCAGATTTTTGTGATGATGTCCCTCCCATCCTGTTGTTGGTACATTTTTTTTCTCTTTATCATGATCATCCTGGTTAGGGGTTTACCAATTTAATATTAATGTTCTCAAAGAACCAGCCTTTGGTTTCATTGGCTTTTTCTGTTTTTTGTTTTGTTTTCTGTTGCAGGGACCAACAAACTTTTTCTGTATCTTAGACTTTGTAGGCCAGAGTCTCATGGTTGCTGCTGTAGCACAAAAGCAGGCAGAGACTATACATACATGAATGGGTGTAGTTGTGCCAATCAAACTTTATAAAAACAGGCTACAGGGCTGGGCTTGACCTATAAGCATGTAGTTTGCCAACCCCAGTTCTTCTATTCCTTAACTTCTACTGTGATCTTCATTATTTCCTTTCTTCTGATTACTTTGGGTTTAACTTGCTCTTCTTTTTTCAGTTATTTAAGGTGGAAGCTGAGGTCATTGATTTTGAGACCTTGCTTCTTTTCTAATACAAGTATTGAGTGCTATGAATTTTCCCTTAAGTAATGCTCCACCCCACAAAGTTTAGTATGTTGTATTTTTATTTTTATTCAGTTTGAAATATTTTCTGACTTTTATTTCTTCTTTGCTTTGTGTGTTATTTATCAGTGTGTTATTCATTTCTCAAATATTTAGGGATTTTCAAGATATCATTCTGGGCTTGATTTCCAATTTAATTTCATTGTGGTGAGAGAACATACTTTATATCACTTGAATCCTTTTCATTTTTTGAGACTTGTTTCAAGGCCCAGAATTTGGTCTAGTTTGGTAAATGTTCCAGGTGCACTTCTGCTATTGTTGGCTACTGGGTTCTATAAACATCAGTTGGTTATTAGTGTTATTCAGGTGTATTAGATTAAATCTCCTTGTTACTCCAGTCCCAGCCAGAAGCCCAAAGTGAATGAAGACGTGTATCCTTTGAATTTTGTTTTGTTTTAATTGTCTTCAGAGAGGAAGGGAGAAGGAGAAAGAGATAGAAACATCAATGATGAGAGAGAATAATTTATCGGCTGCCTCCTGCACGCCCCCTACCGAGGATCCAGCCCGCAACCCGACACGTGCTCTGACCAGGAATTGAACCGTGACCTCCTAATAATTATTCATGGGTCAACTCTCGAAAACTGACCCACACCAGCTGGGCTAGCTTGAGTTTTGACCAATGTGTACATCCATGTATCCCAAACTATATTGAGACTTGCTGGGGTGTTTTTTTAAATATATTCTTTATTGATTTCAGAGAGAAAGGGAGGAGAGAAGGATAGAAACATCAATGATAAGAGAGAATCATTGATCGGCTGCCTCCTGCACACCCACACCAGGGATTGAACCCGCAACCCAGGCATGTGCACTGACCGGAAATCAAACTGTGACCTCCTGGTTCATAGGTCAACACTCAACCACTAAGCCATGCCGGTCAGGCGAGACTTGATATTTTAATAACTGGTAGAACTAATTCCCACTCATTGTTTTTTTTTCCCCCCAGTTTCTCAGATTATTTAATTTGTTTACCTAGTTGTACATATAAACTTTAGAAGTGCCCAATTCTGGACAAGGAGTTGATTGGGCAGTTTGTATTTTTATTGGGAATATGTTACATTAATCAGTTAATGTTGTTGAGTCTTCCTATCTAAGAACTGAGCTTTCCACTTATTCCAGTCTTTGTGTCTTTCCTTTAAGGTTTTTCACGTATGTATAGTAAATATACAGATAGAAGGGGATGGGGACAATAGCTGCAAGACAGCTGTTACTTCCAGGAAGGGAGGATGAAATGTAGCTGAATGGGTTTTTTTGTTTGTTTGTTTGTTTTAAATATTTTATATGATTTCAGAGAGGAAGGGAAAGATAGAAACATCAATGATGAGAGAAAATCATTGATCAGCTGCCTCCTGCATGCTCCCTACTGGGGATTGAGCCCGCAACCCAGGCATTTGCCCTTGACTGGAATCAAACCTGGGACACCTTCTGTCCACAGGCCAACGCTCTATCCACTGAGCCAAACCGGCTAGGGCTAGCAGAATGTTTTTTTTTAAAATATATTTTATTGATTTTTTACAGAGAGGAAGGGAGAGAGATAGAAAGTTAGAAACATCGATGAGAGAGAAACATCGATCAGCCGCCTCCTGCACATCCCCCACTGGGGAAGTGCCCGCAACCCAGGTACATGCCCTTGACCGGAATCGAACCCGGGACCTTTCAGTCCGCAGGCTGACGCTCTATCCACTGAGCCAAACCGGTTTGGCAAGCAGAATGTTTTTTTAGTGCATCTTGTTGATGGGCACAGGAATGTTTCTTATAAAAACTATTTTTCTGCTCTAGCCAGTTTTGCTCAGGATAAAGCATCAGCCAGTGTTTGATTCCTGTCAAGGGCATGTACCTCGGTTGCAGGCTCAATCCCTGGCCCTGGTCGTGAGTGTGTGTGGGAGGCAACCGATCGATGTGTCGCTCACATCCATGTTTTTCTCTCTCGTTTCTCTCCCTCCCTCCCACTCTCTAAAAATCAATGGAAAAAATATTCTTGAGTGAGGATTAACAACAAAAAAACACACATCTATTTTTCTATATGTTTGAGATATTTTATTTAAAAATTTAAGCCTGGGTTTAATTGGTTGGAGCATTACACCAAAAAGGTTGTGGGTTAAACTCAAGGTCAGGTGCATATGGAAGGCAACTGATCCTTGTTTCTCTTTCACAACTGATCCTTGTTTCTCTCAAAATCAATAAATATATCCTTGGATGAAGATTAAAAAAATTGGCCCTGGCCAGTGTGATCAGTGGTTAGAGCATTGTCCCGAGCACTGAAGGATCTCGTGTTCCATTCTGGGTCTAGGGCATGTACCTGGATTGAGGGTTTGCTCCCTGGCCCTATGGGAGGCAACCAATTGATGTTTCCCTCTCTTCCTCTCCTCCCTCCCTCTCTCCCTCTCTATTCTCTCTGAAAAAGCAATGGGGAAAAAATATCTTTAGGTGAGAACTAACAAACAAAGAAAATTAAAAACAAACTTAGAAGTTGGATCAATTTTAATAGAAAAATTTATTGCAAGTAGTGACTCTTCATATTACAGTAGTTTATTCTGATAAACCAAATGACCATAATTTGTGTATTTTGGATATAAAACTATACTTTTTTAAGACTATATAATACATTTCCAGTGTGATGACATTTCAAGGAGGAAAAGATTGCATTCACAATAAATATCATTATCCCTGAGCACATAGACTTAAAATAAGCATCGTCCAAACACCTTCCCATGGTGCAGCGATCCCTAAAAAAGGGTTTTCCCTCCTTTGTCCTTTATCACTGGGTGACAGTCACAGAGAGTAAAGCCTTTCTGGAATTTTTGTACAGACTCACCATTAAGGATACTAATAATTTAAACCCAAAGCAGGCACAGTGGAACGGTGAAACTGTGCAGAGCTCTAATTTTGCACTTTAATCTCTGCAGCCAAAGTCAAAAGCACAACATTGAAATTGCTTTTGCTCTATCATTGTCTTTTAGTCATTCTTTGCTGAGAGCCCCCATGATCTGATTTCACCAGTGACTAAGCACAGTTGGAAATTAGCTTGGACTAATAACGGTGTAGTCTTTTCCCCAGCATCTGGCTCACATGTCCAGGGGTGCATGGCCAATGAACCATAGAAAATTATGGCATCACAGTGGCTTAATTTTAAAAGACGCTCTTTCAAAATGAATTTCAGAAAAACAAGCAGTCTACACAGAGAAGGATGCTGAAGTTATTCTACAGATGAGTTTGTTGAGAGCTCTTACTTTTTCTTCCAAGATTCGGTTTTCTTTCTCAGCCCCTCGTTGCTTCTCTTCAGTGACCTGAAGTGCTTTCATCAGGTGAGCATTTTCCACATAGAGCTCCTTGAGCAGCAAATCGGATTTTGTGTTCTTCTCAAACTAGAGAGGGAAGAAAGCCATACTTTATTGTGAATCTAATGCAGAAACGCTATACAACCCTTTGACTCTTCCATCTTTATTCAAACCATATTTTGGGGTTCTTACAGATCTGATACAAACATTGGATGTCATAACAATTTCTGTTATCTTGGCATGAGACAGGAAATTGAGAATCTGAGGAACTATGTGGTAGAGAACATTTAAGTCAACTTTATCAAAGATTTTTACCATGAAATCACATGAAAGGCCAAAATCATAGGTCTCAAAAAGAACTATTCCGGGCAATGTAAAACAAGGAAACTGTCAAGAGTGCCAAAAATGTGGTGTTCATCCAAGTGTGCTCCGTAAGGCCATCCTGTCGCCCAGGTCACTGAGGCACTGCACTCACCCTCACAGACCGGTGCAGTCACCACACACAACAGCCACAGGGGCACGAGGCCTCTAGTCCTGAGTCCTTGTTCAAGATACAAAGGCAAGGACGTCCTGACCTTGTGCTTCTTAAGTCAACACTGAATTCATTCATTCACAGAGCACCCCTCATTGCCAGGCACTGCCCTAGCAACAACCCTTCTCTCATGGAGCACATATTCTAGTGGACAGAGACAGATCAAAAACACATGCAGTGTGTCAGGTGGTGAGAAGTGCTAAGAGGAAACTCAGACAGCTGAGGAGGGTTCCGTTTTGGTTAGAGAGGACAGGGTGTGTGTCTGTGACATTTGAACAGGTCTGAATAAGGCACGGGAGTCAGTCCCGAGGCTGGCTAGGCCTGAACATTCCAGGCAGGGGGAGGAATAAGTACGAAGAGCCAGAGGGTGCATGCTGTGGGTGACAGGATGGCCAGCAGGCCTGTGACGAGGGCATGGTGGCGGGAGGCCTAAGGAGAGGAAACCACCTACCGGGCTGCCTGTGCGGGGCACAGATCCTGCAGAACCTCTGAGGTCACTGTAAAAGCTCTGCCTTTTACTCAGGGACCTGGAAAAACAAGGGTTCCCGGCAGAGGAGGGCCAGCGCCTCAGCTACAATTGGTGAGGACTGTTGCTGCTCCAGGGTTGGTAACAGATTCGAGGAGGAAGTAAGACATGCCAGTTAGGATGCCAAAGATGAGGTGAGAGCAGTGGGGGTGGGGCTGTCTCCACGCTGAAGGCGGAACTGGTGGACTAGATGGAGACAGGGTGGGTGGGGGGAGGAGCCCACTGCACTCCAAGGTTTTGGATCTAAGTCATTGGCAAGTGAACCAAAGACAACTCTTTGAAGGTATTTCTGTGAAGAGCAGAGAACTGGTCCGATCAAGCCTCCGAAGGTTTGTGTTGGGTGGCAGCCAGGGCCCCAGAGGAAGGAGGAGATGGGGTGGGTCCAGGCAAGGTGACACAGGCCAGGTCTACGTGTGCATGGCCCGAGTGCAGTGCACATTCGCTTTGGGCACTTCGGGTCTCCCAGGGACAGCTGAGAGGAGAGAGAAGAGGTGCTGGAGGTCAGAAGGGAGGGCAAGGGCTCAGAGTGCTAGCAAGCCAGGAGGTGTGGGCAGCGCTGGTGGGCAAAAGCCACAAGAGTAAACTAGAACTGGTTTTGCCAGGTGAGGAAGCACACAGTGTGCAAATGAGTGACTATAAGGGGAGTCAGACTCTGACACTGGGAGGAAAAGTGAGGACCAGGGAGAATGAGGGTTAGTGGGTGGCAGAGCAAAGCCAGGAGGTTAGACAAGGAGGGGGGCGGGCCTCAAAGAGTGACTCAGCCTGGGAACTTTCCACGAAGATTCAGGAACAAGAGGTGACACAAATGTTCATGGGCTCAGGAGCCCTCAGATAAAGCATACTTGATTACTATGTAATACAAATGTTTCTACAGATTCTCACATTTCTCTTAGCTGCCTCTAGCACTACAAAAGAACTTTCGGGAGTAGCTGGCATTTGCCTTTGCGTCTCTTCCCCTCTAGCCTTGCCTCCCCTCTCAGCACTCCCCGTGCAGTTAGGTGTTCCACTGATTTAACTGCTGGCTGGGCGAGACTGTAAATGCTCAGGGCAGCTGTGATCTTCTTGTTGTTTTTTTTCTCTAGCAGCCCAGGTTATCTCCCCACCCCCAATGGTGATTTTTGGGCTGGTTTGGTGGTTGAGCATTGACCTATGAACCGGTCAGGGCACATGCCCTGGTTGCAGGCTCAGTCCCCAGTGTGGGGCGTGAAGGAGGCAGCCCATCAATGACTCTCATCATTGATGTTTCTATCTCTCTCTCCCTCTCCCTTCTTAAAAAAAGAAAAATATATATATATAGGTCAGATCATGTTCTTACTTAAACTCTTCCAATAGCTTCTAATTATCTATACTATATAATAAAAACCCAGTGACCAGAAAGGCAGAACGACTGCTCGACCAGTCACTATGAGGTACATTAGCCACCTCTCAGTCCCTTTCCCCAGGCAGCAGGCTCCGATCGCCTGATGGCAAATGGGGACCTGGGGGTGGGTGGTGGGGGATGCAGGTAGCACCAGGCCAAGGCCCCCGCCCTGCCAGTTTGCCCCACACACAGAGGGCGACCCACAGCGGGGGTGGAGCCAGTGAATGGGCAGGAACAGCCAACCTCGGTCCCTCTCCCTGGCTGTCAGGCTTTGATCGCCCGATGGCGAATGGGGAACCGGGTGGGTGGCAGCTGGGGAAGATGGCCCTGATGGCAGGCTAGGCCTAGGGACCGTACCCGTGCACAAATTTCGTGCGCCAGGCCTCTAGTCTATATATATAAAAGCCTAAGTGACCATTACAACTAAACAACCATGACTGGTGGATCAGTCACTATGATGCGCAGTGACCACCAGGGAGCAGATGCTCAATGCAGGAGCTGCCCCCTAGTGGTCAGTGTGCTCCCACAGCCAATCTCCCATGGCCAGCCAACCGCCCTTGGTCCCTACCGCCTCCACTCCAACTGCCCCCAGCCAGCCCCCATCGGACCCTGATGTTAAACCATTCATAGACAACCTGCTTCTGGTTGGGCTTTCATATGTAACAGAACAGCTCCCTTGTTGCAATCTATTGAAAGTCAGCCCTCACCACACGGGTTTGCCTTGCTCCCGTCCTCTCCCTTCCCTGGGGGCTGCCCGCCCACCATGGTGGCATCGCTGCGGTGAGGAAAGGAGGGGGGTGGCAGGGAACCGTGCAGTGGCGGGGTGGCATCGGCATCCGTTCCTTCCACGCCCGGCCTGGCGACCACCTCCTCTCCCGACCCCACCAGGGCCTTCAGGCCCCAGGCTGGGTCAGGGAACCAGGGATGGGTGGCAGCGGACGCAGCCCCTTTCCCGGGGGGGCCGAGGGCCAGCTCCCTCCTTGGAGCTGGCAGCCAAGCCAACCTCCCTCGGTCCTTCCCCTCACACCCCTACTGCAGGAATTCATGCATCGGACCTCTAGTAATTAGAATAAAATCTGAACTACTGACTTTGAGGGGACCCTGCCTACCTGTTCCTGCCCATCAGTTCACACCAACTACAATGACTCCTCCTTTGCCATGCCTGGTCCCATCTAAGGACATTTACCTGCACTGCTCCCTCTGTGGAATGCACCTTGTTGGGGATCTACATGTCCCCCACCACATGTGGAGACTGTCCCAGTGACTGGAGGTGCTGTTGGCATTTAGCACTATAATGCACAAGGCAGTCGCACCCAATTCGCATTCTCCCTTCTAAAATGCCAACCTGGCCTCTGTTGGGGGACACAGCTAGACCTTCCCATGGCTGGGCCATGAGGTGCCTGCCCCCACACCATGTCCTGACCATCCTCACCAAATCCCCACCATCACTATTTCCTTTTCTTCAGAGCACTTCTTTCAACCTGAGGTCATTTGTGTTATCTGTCTCTGCCTTTAGAGTGTAAGGTCCTTGAGGGCTTCTACCTAGGACAATGCCTTGATACTTAACAGGTGCTTGGAGTGACTGAATGAACAAATGAAAACAGACATCTTTTCTGAGATTATGTGAACACCTCAATATCTTAAAACAATTTCCAAAAGAAAATGAGCACAATGTACAGATATAATGTAGGGTATGTACAGATTTAGTAAAATCAGTTTCCTATTGATTGCTTTTAATTGTTAATCTGAAAAATATTTGTACAATCAGATTCTAAAAATGAAGTTTAGGCAGATCCCCAGATTCATTGGTTCCAAGTGAACACCCATAAAAAGAAAAACAATGTTCTGAACGAGGATATTGGCATGTCCTGACAGAAGCCCCTCACGCACCTGCTCTCCCAGCTCACCCACTTTTTCTTGCAGGAGCATTTCCATGTTCTTCAAAACCATCTCCACCTCTTCCACCTGCTCTTCTGTATCTTTAAGCTGCTTTTTATGTTCTTCCTGCCACAAAAGAAGGTTACACACCAATATTTTACATTTTAAAAAGAATCCTCTCAGGCTTATTTATTTTAGAGTGGAAATTAGCTAAAATGTACAAATATGAGAGTGACTATTGATAACCTTTCATCTGTATAGAGTAAGTTAAAAAAATGTTCTGTCACAAACCACTAAACTGTTATTTCTTTTTGTAGTTCAAGAATTAGCAGACCGCCCTATCTGGTTTCACTCAGTGGACAGAGTGTTGGCCTGCAGCCTGAAGGGTCCCAGGTTTGATTCCAGTCAAGGGCACCTGCCCAGTAGGGTGCATGAGGCAGCCAAACAATGTTTCCTCTCCCTCTCCCTTCCTCTCTGAAATCAACAGAAGTATATTAAAAAAAAGAGAAGAAGAATTAGCAGACTAAGTATTCCTAAAGAATTTCTGATCAAAATTCCTTGTTTTGTCATTAATCTATTGTAATTTAATATTATCTCTAGCTGGACACTTTTGCATAATGCTGAAAGGTTATTTGATGTAGAATTTATGCTTTACAAACATTAAATTTTACCCACCTTTCAAGTCTTGCTCTAATTTTTGCCCTCTGGTTCCTGATCTCCACATCCCTCCTGCCTTGAACTCTTCCTCATGAACTGTGTTACTCAGGATCAGGTTACTTTCTCAGGCTTTTAAATTAAACACTTACACAGGGGCACACGTTCCACAGACAATTCAAGCACTTTAGAAGTGCCAACTCATCGATGCTTCACAATAATGCTTTGAGGCTGGTATCGGAATTTTACAGATGAGGAAACTGGAGCACAGAAAGGTTAAGCAACTGGCCCAAGATTACTCAGCTGGGAGGTGGGGGAGCCACAGTCCCAATCTCCGCAGGCGATGCTCTGAGCCACCATGTCCTGCTGCCCTTTAAGGCAGTGACCCTCTTTCTGCATCTCTAGTGCCTGGCACACAGCAGGCTCCTCAGGTCGATCCTGTTACCTGGATCCTCCTCCCGGCCTCCCTCCAATCCTTGCTATTCTTTTTTCTTTTTTTAATCCTCACTTGTTTTTTTCCATTGATTTTTTTTTTTAGAGAGAGAGTGGAAGGGAGGGAAGATGGGAAGAAAAAGAGAAACGTTGATGTGAGACACATGAATTGGTTGCCTCCCACACAAACCCCCACTGTGTCCGAGAACCAAACCTGCAACCTTTCGGACTGAGGGCCAATTTTCTAACCACTGAGCAACCAGCCAGGGTGACCTTGCTGTTCTTAAACATGCCAAATACATACCCACCTCAGGGCCATTTCACGTGTTGCCCCACTGCCTACAGTCCTCTCTCCCCAGGTAACTGGATGGCTTGCTGCCTCAATAACTTCAGACGTTGGCTCAAGAACCACCTTCTCTAACTATCCTATTTAAGACTGCAAGACCCCCCACTCCACCGCACTCACCACCACGTAACGTGCTATCCACATGATTCATTTTTTTATTTTTGGGCTCCCTACCACCACTATAATTTGGCTCCAGATTTTCACCTTGTGTGTCATTCCTGTATCTCCAATACCTAGATCAGTGTGTACCCAATAAGTAACTTCTGTATTCCTTATGTGCCTTTGGGTGGATTTTCTTTTCAGTATGCATAATAGTTTAAGATATTTTTTTTAATTAGGTGCATCATTTGGAAACTGGGAGTGTTTATATGAAAATCTAGTTTTTAGCTTTTCTTTGAAATCAGGAGCATTGAAATGCAGAAGCTACACAGCCGAGGAGCAGCACCCATTGCCTCACTCACAGCCTCTTCTCTCCACCTTTCAGGCCCTGTAAGCATTCGTGTGGGGCCCCTAACGGTTAGCCATGGGCCTATGGCAGCCTCTGCAGCCCCCCAGGACAGACTGCAGCTGAGAGGAACTAGGCCCCCAGGCTGAAGAGACCTTCAGGATCAGCTCACTCAGTGCCTCCTAGAGAGGCTCTTTCCACCTCTCACCACCCTGGTCCTTCCTCAGCATCTGTTAAGAGTCCTCATTATTCACAGTAGAAATCGGGGTCCCACAGCTTCTGTACAACCAGTTCTCATGGAGGTAGGATGGCTGTTGGGCCATCTTCCCCTTGGCACTAGGACAGTTTTAGGCTGAGTGACCCATGATCCAACCTCTCCCTCCCCTTCACCATCAGCTGGAACCTCTGGGCTCTTGTTCCCATTCACCCGCTGTCGCCTCCCTTCCTCCTGCTGGAGGCTGCACTCCTGGCAGAACTGCTGAGCTGCCCGCTGCTCCCATTCCAGCAGCTGCCGCAGCTCTGCCACGCAGCCCACGGGCACGCTCTGCTCCGTCTGCTTCTGCAGCTGGTGGACGTCCTGCAAGGGCTGGTCAGGGCTCAGGTTGGCTCCGTGCAGCTGTACCAGGGAAAAGGCCACAACAGCTTTGGTGTGACTGCTGAGAGTTACAGGGTCACTGCCAGACACGAAGGACTGTTTAAGGACACCCTACAACTGGAAGCACAAGGAAGGCATCTGCTCTCCTTTGTGGTCCCTGCATCTGCAGCAAAATGCAGAATTTGTAAAGGGCCTATTCATTGGAATTCTGACAGCAAAACTCCCAGGTAGCCAGAGCTGCACAGTGAGAGGGAAAGTTGTGCCTGCGATCCTCAGAATGACGCTGAGACTTCACACTGGATCCACGGGAGATCACGGTATATGCTGTCCAGCTCTACCGTCCAGCATGCCTCATTGGAGCCTGATTCCTTAAACACTATATAACCCATGCAAACCAGACATGGTAATAATCTAAATGGAGAATTTACACTTCTGAGACCCGCTGAGGCCAGGGTCACAGGGTAAACAGCACACAATGAGAGCAGAAGGAAACTTGGGAGCAGCTGTGGGATGAAGCTCCCCAGCCACAGAGGACTGCCCAGAACTCATGGAGTTATGCTGAGTCCTCATGATTGAACTGCATACCATGTGGCCAGTGTTTTCACTAAGCAAGCGGGAGGTCAGATCCAAACGCCATTTACTAGTAATTCACTCTGGCTCTGGGGGCTTCATCTAGAATGCGCATCATTCCCTCGGCCCCTAAAAGAACTGGCCACAGCAGCCCTCATGCACCCCTGAGGCTCTATCAAATGTCACACTCAGGAGGGTATCCTTGCTCCCCTGATATATGTCAGCAGTTTGGCTCAAAGACACTCTTACAAAAATTTCAAAAATGTCACACTTAGGACAGGTCTCAAAGTGGCCACGTGGCCAGAGAGAAAGGGCAGGTGCCACCCAAGAGTGAGCGGCTGCAAACCTCCAGCCCAGGTTCCTCTCAACAGTCGCTGCTCACCTCACATCTCTGGAAGGCCACCTGAGGGACCACGTCATCACTGACACAGCAGCTCTAGGACAGGAGTCACCCCGGAGAGATGCCCTGGTGCACGCTTCCTTTGAACACACGGCCTTACCCTCCTCACTGCCGCCTTTACAGCCACCCCGTTCTCTGAATTGGTGCCTGACATGGACCTTTACTGCGGGAGAGCAGGGGAGTCCCTGCAGCGCTACTTTGTGACTATCTACACGGGCAACTAGCCCATAAGCATCCACAAGCTGAATTCTGTCCAGTCCTTTTCACCTCCCTCTTCATGGAAGTGAGACGCAGATGGAGCTGGCCCAGCTCCGGGGTGCACAGGCGGCTCTTTCTCCCCGTTGAGAATTGGGCTCTGAGCCTCTCCCTCATTCACAGGTGGGGACTGTGCCGTCACCCACTGACCGGTGGGCTCTGAGCCCTCCCCTCGAATCCAGGCTGGACCAACAGAATGTTGGATCTGGTAAGCATGTTTTTAAAAAAACAGCACGGGACCTCCCTTGCTCACACAAACACTCCATCCATGCTTTTGTTCCGGCCCTCCGGTCCAGTTTAAGAACCCATTGTGGCCCTCGAGTCAAAAAGTTTGCCCACCCCTGTCCTAGATGCTCCTCCTCAGAACCATCCACGGATGCACCAGTGATAAGAATGAGTCCGTCCCACATATCTCCACACCCGCCCTCCCACAGCACACCCAGAGGTGCCTTAACTGCTCTGTAGGTGCCTCTACTTCCCTCCTCTGGGCTTTCATCAGTGTGGTCTTGGGGGGAATCCTCTAAGTCACAAAGAAGCTGGTGCTGCGCAGATTAAGTCAGGTAACTTCTGCCTGTGACGCTGGCTGTCTCAGCCTCAAAGGGCTCAAACTGGCCAAGGCTATTTCTCAAGGGTCCTTTCAGACTGAAAAACAGAGAAGGGAACCCCCCAATACAGAGGTACCCCTGGGAAAGTTCTTGTTTGCAGTGGGAAAGCTCACAGCCTACAGGATCCCCCAACAGCCTTACAGGGCCCCACACCCAGGCTGACCCCTCTGCAGCTTTGGGCATCTTGCCCTCTCACACCAGGCAACCGCGGCCGGGCAAAGCCAGTAGGGGAACCTGCGAAGAGGCTCAGAAGAGGCAGGCACTCCGGTGCCACACTCAGGTGAGGCTGGTGCTGGGACTGAGGCCACATGGTTAAGACCCCTTCCATACCATGCTTAGGGTGGTCTCTCCCACGGCCCCTCTTTACTCCTTACAGCCCCCTGGCCCTCCAAGAGCACCCCACACGAGTCTGCACTGGGCTCTCAGTACTCAGGATCCCTCCTACAGCAGTGATGGCGAACCTATGACAAGCGTGTCAGAGGTGACACAGGAACTCAATTTTTTGGTTGATTTTTCTTTGTTAAATGGCACTTAAATATATAAAATAAATATCAAAAATATAAATCTTTGTTTCACTATGGTTGCAAATATCAAAAAATTTCTATATGTGACACGGCACCAGAGTTAAGTTAGGGTTT